TTTCTAACCATATTAAAGTTAAAAGAATTAAACCAGTTATCTTGACTTTTAATCAAGGTTGGGTATTTTAAGCAATATAACTGTGCAATGCGAGTCATCAAGTCCTCTTCTTGTAAATGTGTAAATTCTTTGAACAAAGAATTGATTGTCTTTGATTATTCAGGTACTATGTTTACTTTATTTTTAACTTATTTAAATAATTTCAATTAATTATATTTTCAATATATATATGTATATATATATATATATATATATATATATATATATATATATATATATTATATATATATTGCTACAGCAAAAAAGTGCACAAGCAAAATTAATTTTCATAAAAAATATTTTGTTAATTTAATAAATCTTTTTTTTAACCGAATATTGTATAATATTTAAGTAATATTGAATATTGTGTAATACAAAGAATTTTTCATTCAATTTAATTCAAGAAATTATAAAAAAAATAGTTATAAAAAAAGTAAAATTTAAATTCACTTTTTTAAATGCTGCCGAGGTGAATGGAACTTTTGAGGTACAGACCTCAAGGCATTTCTTTGCTGAGACCGAAAAGGCTGACTTTTGAACAATGTATATATATATATATATATATATATATATATATATATATATATATATATATATATATATATATATATATATATATTATATATACATTATATAATTAACATACATACATACATACATACATACATGATTTAGCGAGAACCCGCAAGGGTTTTTTTTATTATAAAAAGAAAATATATTTTTGGTTTCCTGAAAAAAAATTTGGGATTAATTTTATTATTTAAAAAAATTGCAATAGGTAGACAACATCAGTCATTGGTCGCTGAATGTTTATGTTCATCTAATATTGTGGATATTTTGCTGGAGAAAAGTTTCTGGCCTAGTTCTCCTGTAAATCCATCTGCAGCATTTAGCTATGAGTTGATGGATTTGATGGAAGCCTTGTTCCTAGATGGATATGTTTCTGTGAAATCATTCTGTAAAGCATTATATACTAAATCAAAAGGAGATGATTATATCAAGGTATAACATCATATTAGATAGCATGTATCCGAAAAAGTATATAAAAAAAAATGTTTTAAAGGTTGTTTTTTATGTAGATTGACGCGATATATAAAATGGTAACTGGTGAATGTTTTCTGAGCTATCTTTTGTTTAAAAATGATTTAAAAACCTTCAAGCCAAGATTTCAAAATTTTCACAATCTATCTATATGTCCTGCATGTCCTAAAGTAAGAAAATCATTAATATTGTGAATTTTCTATATAATGCAATATATTTTCAAAAACTTATATAACCTATGAAACAATTGCCTCTTTAAACTGTAAATTAAATTTTTAGCAATTTTGTATGAAAGCTGCCATTCTAAAGAATAAAATAAGCTATAAAATATTGAGTAATTATATATTATATTATAGGAGTCTGGTACATTAGTTTTATCCTTTGATGCATTGTTTGGATTGGTGAGAAAGTTTTCATCAGGGAAAAGTCATTACGAGCCAGTACTTAAAAATCTTTACCTGTTGGATCAATCTATTGTTGATCAATTTGTTAGTAACTACAACTGTAAACTCTCAGTAGAAGAATTAAAGGTTTTTGATTTTCAAAATATGTTTTTTTGACTTTTGTTTTATTTACTATAATACTAAAATAATGAGCACCGGTTGCTTAATGATGACAAGTAAAATAGAATGTAAATATATAAATTGAATCTACTAAATATTTTAAACAATTGGCAATTTTTATTAGATTTTGAATTATTTTTTTTTACTTTTTAAAATTTAGACGTGTAATGATTTCAAGGCAATAAACTCATTACGATCTAAAAAATCAAATGCAAAACTTGACGAAACAGGTGTTTTTGGATGTTCTTGCAGACATGAAGTACCTAGACAATTTTTTAATCTCAAATCTGGTGAAAGGTTCTTGCTTTCTATATTTTTATTAGAAAAGTATAGAAAAATAATTTGTTTATTATAATTTTTTAATTTTTAGTTTGGCTAATGCGGTTTATTTAATAAACCAAATACTTGATCAAGTTAAAAAGGAGGTTAATGTTGTGGTAATGTATGATATTGCATGCATGCTTGTTAAACATCTTAAAGTAAGGATTTATAGTATGATTTGTAATTTTTTATAAAATCATTCATATCCTAAGTTAATAAAGATTTGCTATTATGAAAGTATAATTATATAAATTTTATGTTACAGTGTTGTTTATTCTAGAAACAAGGAAGTAATATCCTTGATAAGAATGTCTCCTTTTGTATTCCTTCTTTTCATGTATATGGTCATAGATCAGCTTGCCAGGTATTTTTTAAAATACTGATAACAAATTACTTAATTTCTTACAAACATTTTTCAGATCTATTTTTTTCTTTGATATTGAAAACATTTGTTTCAAATTGTTAATTAATAACTAATAGAAAATACATTAGGTGTTTTGGTAAATTTGCATACTCAAAGGTGCATTCTAGTTGTTTCTTTTTTTTTAGTTAAAATATTCCCCTAAATCAACTGTTGGTATAGGTATTTCAGATGGTGAAGTTATGGAGCGTCTTTGGTCTGCCCTTAGAAGATTTTCAAAAATCACTAAAGAGCAAACACCAAGTCATAGAGCTGATACTCTTACACTGGGTTTACTTCATTATGCACAATATTCGATTAATTCATTAAGTAATTTTAAAACTAAATATTGCTATAACATATTGCTTTCATTTTCAACATATGTATATTTGTATTATATTTTTAGGTAGAAGACTATGTGCTCGAATCGACAAAGCTGTACAAATTAAAGATACTACTGATATTGAACTTGAAAAAACACTTAAGTCTATTGGCGGTTTGTATAACTTTGATGTTTTAAATAAATTATTAATAATCTATTATATAAACAACAGTGTCACTCGGTCCCTGATTTCATAATGCTGTAAAGTCATAATAATGTTATAATGTCCCTTAATTCTCTATAGATATAAATTTATGTACTAATTTTGCATTCATTATTAATAAAATAAAATTATTTCATTAATAAAAATAAATTATTTTTGCATGCTTCAAATAATTAAAAATGAAAAAGGTTTCTGCTGAAACTTGAAGTTGTATATTTTTTATATACCCTGGAGGGTACTTAATTGATATACCTTGGAGGATGTTTAATATTTTTGAAATATTCTTTAGTTCTACAAAGAGAGGTTATTCAATCTTGGATTGCAACAGAAATTGATATGGAAGACTGTGGAAATCAAAAAAATGATAAAGGTTTAAATGTATTTTACTATGAATTTTTAATTTAATAATGTTAGATTTAATCAAAACTAAAATTATACTCTAATTTTAATAAATTTTAATAAATACTTGTATTATTTGCAGAAAGCGATCTTGAATGCTATGTTTTAATTTTGAATGATTGGTGGAAGTTAAGGTAAATTGTTTGATAGAGCAGAAGTATTTTTTAGTTAATAGTCTCAAGACTTAAAGGATTTTTTTAAAAGTAAAAGTTTAAAATAAGAGCATAGATACAACTTTTAACAACTTGATTTGTAAAACTTTTATAAATCAGGGATTACCTTTTTTTGGATATTCCCGGAACTCCGGATATATTTCTGAACTTTTAGGTTTTCCGGACATCCAAAATGTTGCATACAAGTTTAAGTATATATTTGTGTATTTAATTTGATTTTTAAGCTTTTTTATTCGTCACTCATAAGAAAATTAAGAAAAATTTCCAAAAAATTGAGAAACAACTTTAAGCAAAAATTTTTTTAATAAGCTTTAAGCAAAATTAAGACGAAAATAATGGGAAAACTAGTTTTAAACGTGATGTGTACTAGAGATTACTATCTACAGGTATTGTATAATGATAGTATAGCTTAATGAAACATGAATATTCTTTTTTAATATTTAACCTGTTTATCTATTTGTTTGTTTAATTGATATTGTTATATATAATTAATATTAGATTAAAAGAAGAAAAATTACATAACTGCATTTGGTATTTTTTTATTTTTTATTTATTAGAAAAGATATTGAAACTACGACAAGCAATCCAGATATAAACATAGAACTAGAACGGTAATACTTTTTCAAAAACAATATTCTGAAGCAATGGTTATATTTATCTTTTTTAAACAACATTTGTGTGTTATATCAGGCTTGAAAGAGAACTCAGTATTAAAGAGAAGAAATTAAAAATAAATGTTCGGTGGGATCCAATCAATGCTTTTTTTAAGGACACCTTAGCAACTGTCTTTGAAAGAAAAAAGAATAATATTATGCTAAAAATGCAATCTTTTGCATTTCAAAAGTTATTTCTTGGTAATTTGAAAAAAAAATACGCAGGTAAAAAGTTAATTTAAAATTACTTGAAATGTTTAATGAAAGCCTATAATTTTCAAATTGAAAACATTTATTTATGATTTTCTTTGTTTAGACGGCCAGAAAATTGCTATAAAGCTTACTAAGCAGCTGAATAAAAATAATAAGAGTTTGCAAGATCTGATCAAGGAGTATAATTCTATAGTTTTAATTTATCCCAGCAAGTTTTTAAAAAATGTAGTTGTTTGGGACGAGGTTGGTGATTTGGAGAGTGTTTTTTGGAAAAATTATTGGACACAAAAAAGTTCCGATTTCGCCATCCCCGTAACAGTTAAACGAAAGTGTATTGAGTTGTTCCAATTGAACTGTAGAGCTATCGAAGAAATCGAAATGGTTAAAAGCGAAATGAAAAACGTAATAAATTTTAACCAAACTAAAATAAATGAATTTAAGGAAGCTCTCACATTACTTGAAGATAATACTGAAGATAATGGGTGGAAAGCAAGATTACTGAATGAAATAGATGCTTTAACTTTTAAAACAAATTGTTTTTCTGAGGCTTTTTGTCCTTATCTTAATTCGGATACTTCAAGTGAAATAAAGACTCTGTTGTTAAACGACTTTGAAGATGAATTAAGTAGTGAATCGGATGATAGTGATTTAGAATTTGAATAAATGTTTACCATTATAATAAAACATACTTTATTTATTTTATATTATGTCGGATGAATGCATAACACCGCGGGAGCCAAGCGGTGATGACCTGCACAGTTTTATAGCAATAAATTAATTTTTTTTTTTTTGTTTAAATCTATTTCTGTATTAATAACAACATTTTCATTTTATTAATTATCACCCTGCAAATTAATATGTTCCGGGATCCCTGCAATACTGCTTTTTTATTAGTTAATCGTTTCTTCTAAAAAATTCATATTTTTAGGCCTCGGCAAACAAATTCTGAGGGACTCACAAAATTACTATTTACCTCGGCAACATTTTAAAATTGAATTAAAGTTTTGCGTTGTTTCTCTTAAATGAACGTCGATGAAAAATGTTTATTATTACACAATATTATATTTGGCTTTAAAATGAGTTATTTAATAAATTTATCGCGTACATTGCTTTAGCCCAAACAATTTATTTTGATATCGATCTAATTCGTCCTTTTGGGTTTTCTTTTCTTTTTAAAACTATTTTGTTGATGCAAAAAAGTTGTTGATGCAAGTTTCCATTATTCATAGACATGCGAAGCAATGCGTCAAGCAAAATTTGTAATAATTTTTTTTAAGAAATTGTTTTGTATTAAATTTCCAAACACAATCAAACAAAGTTCATAATGATTATTTTTGTGTTCAAAAATTGTTTCTCACCCAATTTGCTAACGTAATCTATAAGTAGTTATTCTTTTTTTATATGCCTGACAAATCACTTTTAAATATTCGGTAAATTAGATGCCTTGAAGTTAAAATTTATTTTGCTATTAGTCCGAGAGAGACCTTTTTTCTTCCAATTGAAACATACAATTGAAACGGTTTTTTACTTGGTTAAACGTTTTTGTGTTTGTAGTCGACCAAGTGAGTAATGATATAAGACATCTATCTTTGGTCATTTTGCACCATCTTGGAACTGTGCGAACTGAGTCATTTAAATCTAAAATGATGTGTCAAACATTTTCGTCGCGTCGGTTTAACACGTTGATCTTAACGTGTCAAACCGACACATTAGCTTAAGATTAGACTTAGGTATTTTCAACATCGAAAAAAAAATCAAAAAAAAAAAATTGGTATACAATTAAACTATACAGTGTTCCCACATTCCTGGAATTGTACTACTGTCTTGGAAAGTCCTAGAATGTTTTTTTTTTTTTTTAAAAAAATTGAAAAAATTATGGAATTTTTAAAATAATCTTCAGAAAAATTTGTATTAAGTATGACTTTTCATGCGTTAATAAAGTTTTATTCAATATCTTTTCATTTGCAAAATTCAAATAAAAAAATGTTTAGACTTTTAAGAAATTGATTTTTTAAAATTTTATCTAAAATTTCTTTTTTTATGAAACACCATTGGCAGGCAGGAAGTTTTGGCTAATATCCTGGAAAGAGTTCCTCGAAAGTTCTTGTTTTCATATTTTTTCTATGGAAACCCTGATATAGCTTTTAGTTGGTACTAGTTTTCTTTCATGTCCTACTTTATAATCACAACTTGTCGTGGTAATTTTTTAAAAATCCTTTAGTCATTAAATTTAGTACATTTAATTATAATATTTGTTGTACTTCAGTTAAAATGATTTTATTTACAATTTTTGGTAATAAAGGAAATTAATAAATTAAATTTTAAAAACAAAATAACAAATGAAGAAATTATAACTCTAATGAAGAAAACGAAAGACCACTGTCTATACCAGTTATCATAAAGTTAGATTATAAATAAACATTATAAATTAATAACCTATAACCACAGAATTAAGTTTTCCTTCAATCAAATAAGAGATTTAGAACCAAAATTATTTTGATTTGTACATATTGCTTTTACAAACTACTACTTTTGATTTTTCATACGTACGTATAATTAAAACATTTAAAATGTACTTTAGAGTAGACCGGTGCACGTTGGCCCGCTTTTTTCTCTTTGACGTGTAACTTTTTAGCTTTTCATTTTTTAATCAATTATTTGTAGAGAAAGGTTAACAAGACCCAAGACTACCAAAAACTAACATTATAAAAAATTCGTAATAGTTTGCAGTATATTTTAAATTGCTTTTGTAAGATCATGTTTGATGGGCCAATCTCCCCGCTATCGGGGTAAGTTGGCTCATGGGTATAAAATGGGTCAAGCCTAATTTTTAAAATATTTTTTTTTTCGCACAACTATATATTTTATCTATATTAATAAAAGAAAAAATCGAACTAGAAATTTAAAGTGTGTCGGACCTTACATACTTTATAGTATAAAACCATCTAAATAATAAAAAAAACATAAAATTGATATTAAGCTCAAGTTTGATTTTTCTTTTCAAAACATTTTAGATTACAAAATATTATTATTAGAAATGCACAAAAAACTATTTAACAAAAAGTGTTTTTGTCGAAGATCGGTTTTTAGTTATGAGAACAAGATTAACAACAGAGTAAATAAACATTTTTATTAATCATACCTTGCAAAAATTCAGCAAATTTAAATTGAAAGTTTAAATCTTCTGAATAGAGTAAAAATTGACATCCTTTTTCAGAAGCAGTTATTACTGGAGCACCACCCTGAGCCAGACAAGTAACAGCAATAACCTCATTGCCCAGATTTGCTAACTCCTCCACCTTTAAAATTATACATACTAATTCAAAAAGATAATAAAAGTTGAAAAAAAACTTTTAAACTTTTATTTAAAAAACTTACAACTTTAGTTAATTGTTTAAGTAACTTCTTAGATTTTAACTGTTTCTCCTCCTTCGTAAGAGGAAAACAGCTATTGCGCTGCAACATAGCTTTGTTATTCCATCTTGCTTTTTCATCGTCACTTAATGTTGACCAATTGTTGCCAAGTTGTTTAAAAGCAACATTTCTTGTTTCAAAATCAGAATCTAGTTTATAAATATTATTTTTATTAGAGGTTTATTAACTTATATAGAAAAAAAAAAAATGTATAATAGAAGTATTTCACATAACAAAAAAAAATTATAAAATAATTATTTATAATTTATAAAAAAAATATAAAAAAATGCTAAGCAAAGTTTTAAAAATTTATTAAAAACTTCAAGCGTTTTTTTTATTTAAATATTTTTTGAAATTGATTGTCATCCTATCTATCCCTAGATAGTCAATAAATCAAAAGTTTAAAATCCCTAGATAATCCCTAAACAAACAAAAAAAAAAAAATTTTAAAAACTTTAAATATTACTTCAATAATAACGATAAAAAAAACTCTAATTACAAATATAGCTATTACTGTAATAATAAAAATTATGTTATCTATTTCAAATTAGTA